TCAATTGCGGGTTATCGACATCCTTCGCTCGTTCGAAGATCGACCTTGTGTGATTGCAGAGTTTTTGACGAATATCATCTTCCTTGACAAGCCAGATGGTGGAGTACGCCCGATAGGATTATTGTGCATGTTCACCAAGATTTGGTCGAAGTGCCGTCAAAACATCTGCCGTACCTGGGAACAGGCCCACGAGCAGGCCTTCTTCTGGGGCGTCGGGGCCACGTCTACCTGCGAGAGAGCAGGATGGGTCCACAACATGCTGGCCCACTTCGGGAAAGTCCTGGGGACCTCGGCGGCGACGGTGCTTCTGGACCTTCAGAAGTTCTATGAGCACATCGACCATGTGGACTTGTATCGTGCGGCGTGCCAGCATGGCTTCAATTTGAAGCTCCTGCGAGGGCTGTGCGTGATTTATGCAGGGGATAGGATGCTGCACTATGGAGGGGCGGTATCTAGGAAGGTGCAAGGTAATGGGGCAGTGATTGCAGGGTGCTCAGCAGCTACCACGCTTACGAAGTTGCTTTTGTTATCGCCGCTCGCGGCCGCGCAGTCTGGCCGGCCACAGTTGTGCATCAGAAACGTGATAGACGACATTGCGCTGCAGATTGTTGGTCCGCAGCAGCTCATTGCGCCGCAGCTCGCCGCAGGTGTGCAGCCCCTGTTGTCCAGTTTCTCGGAGCTCGAGCTCCCCGTCTCGGAAAAGTCGAAGTACATGACTAGCGACTCGGATTTGAATGAGGCCTTGCAGCCCCTGTGGGACCTCCCGAAGGAAAGCAAGGTGGATCATGCAAGGAACCCCGGCACCGACGCGGTGATGGGGTCCCTACGGAGGGTTCAGATCACTCGGGACAGGTGGGACAAGGCCAGAGGGAGGACGATTAAGATTAAGTAGCTCAGGGAGGCGGGGGCCAACACGGGGTTCATTCAACGTGGAGGCCCTACAGCGTCGGCTCTATGGGGGTCCAGCATCATGGGGATTCCTTCGACCCAACTGCATCGTCTTCGATTGGGAGCTGCTGGAAGTCTCGGGAAGGTCCCCAAGGGCTCCACGGTCGGGCTCCGTCTCCTGAGCTATGCTGAAGGGGTCCGAGTGGACCCGCTGCTGTTGAACATCGGGATGGTTGTGTTCCAATGGGCGGCGGCGGTCTGGGAGTCGTTCCCGAAGCTTCCTGTCCTGGAACGGTGTCTTGAAGGAGCCCTGGGCCGTCTCGAAGGAGTTCAATCACCTTGGAGGCTAGCAGCAGCCCCAGCTGAAGTAGCCGTTCTCAGTCTTCGCAGAATAGGCTGGAGTTTGCGGTCAAGTGCGTGCATGGTCACGGACCGGCAGGAAGCACTAGACCTTCGAGTTTTACCTCCAGCGCTCGTTCAGGAGCTAGCAGTTGCAGGCGCCAGGCGAGCTTCTGATCGGCAAGCTCTTTTTTGTCGTGAGCCCAAAGCCAGGTGGAATATGCCGATATTTTGGGCAGGACTTGAGGGGCTCCTGCATCGGACCAAGGGATCCTGGACGAAGAGGTTTCAGAGGACGTTGAGATCCTTGGTTTCTGGAGGACACTGGCCACAAAGTCGGCTCCACCACCATGGACTTGTCGGCTCAGCGAGGTGTTGTGTATGTGGTGATCCTGAAGGGTCCTTGTGGCACAGGGCATACGAGTGCCCGAAGCATGCAGGGCTCAGGCGTGAATGGGTTGACGACTTCCACAGGACGAGGGCTCGCAGGGTCCGCGAATGGGGATACGACGAGGGGGAGAGGTTTGCGAGAGGCCTGTTCCCGTCGCCAGAGTTGGTCTTCCCCGTCTTGACCGAGGCCCAAGAGACCATCTTGTGGCACAACAGACCTGAGTCAGGGCTCCTGAGTGGCACGCTGTTCTTAGACGGTTCGGCCTTATGGGCCTCGGCTCCGTTTTTGGCCCGAGCGGGCTGGGCCATCGTGCAGGTAGATAGGTTTGGAAATGTAGTTTCGGCGGCCTACGGGCCCGTCCCATGCAGTGTGTGCCCTAAGCAGAGTTCTAGAGGCGCGGAGGATTACGCCGTCTCGATGCTGCGCGTTTGTGCTATGGCGCCCTTCGATGTCTTCATTGACTGCGCAGGCACTCTTGGGACTCTCCGTGGCGGCGCGGGCGCTGGATCCCAAAGCAGTTGTGGTCGGGCCCAGCTCTGGAGTCCGTTCTGGGGAGCGTTCTCAGAAGGGGACTTCCAAGTTTTTAAAACCAAGGCCCACTGCACCAGAGCCCAGGTAGATGCGGGTGTTACCACTCAGTGGGAGTACAGAGGGAACGCCCACGCCGACAGGTTTGCGAAGCTTGGTGCTGCGGAGCACGGCGTGGGTGAGGAGCAGTTTCAGTTGTGGCAAGGCTTTAAGTTTTTAGCCCAAGAATCCGCCCGATGGGCGGCTTGTGTGCACGTTGAGTCCAATGGCCAGGACCACGAAGATTTGATGGAAGCGTACTGGAGGTCTCGGGGCTCTACTGCCGAGGAAGACCCAGAGACCCCAGAGGACCCCGAGCCTGTGCCCCAGGCGTGCAGCAGTGGTGGGGAAGTGGGGTCGTCGCACGGGGTGGGCGACGGGTGGGAAGAGTATGCAGACGCCAGTTTTTGGTGGCAAGGCCACAACCTGCTGGAGGCAGATGTGCTCAGTCGCACCGCCCACGTTTCCTCGGTCGTCTTCTGCTGCCGCTGTGGCACCGTATCCTCGGACGGCAAGCTAACTTCGGGTCTCATGGGGTGGTGCCCCGAGAAGGCCAAAGCTGGAGGAGTGGACCAGCCGCGAAGGATCAAGAAAGGAGAATTCCCCTCTTACCGCGCCAATGTGCGCTCGTTGAAGGTCGGGAGGCCGCACGGAGTGCTGCCAGCGACCCGCTCGAGCCTAGCCGAGGCCGAGCTGAGCCTGCCCCCAGAGCCACAGCCCGCGGCCCCAAGCGTCGGGGCTAGTGGCGGATGGGGGCGGGCTGATCATGGGGGGCGGGCCGAGGTTCTGAGGGCGTTTGGGCTGCGGGAGGGGGAGCTCGAACTGGTCCGCGACCTCGGCCGCTCGGCCCTGCAGCGGAGCGCGGACAGCCCTGAGGAGGGCGACTCCGACGCCGAGCCATTCTGAATTGGGGCTTGACCCCGCGTTTAGCGCAAACCCATACCATACCATACCTCCTCCTCCTCCTCCTCCTCGCCCCCCCCCTCCGCCAGCGCCTCCCCGCTGGGCCTGCCCCCGTTTGATCCAATTTCGGACCCGAGGGGAGGGGGGCCGTCGGAGGAGTCGGCCAGTCATCCCACTCGCCGGTGCACCCCCGGCAGGTGGGGGTCGGCGGACTCCAGAGGTTGGTCGCCCTCGTCTTGCCCTCATCAGCCAGAGCTCTGCAAGCCTGCACGAAACCGAACAACTGGTCACGTCTCAAACGTTACTCTGGATCATGAAACTCGGAACCAACATACCAAAAGGTAGGTGGGTGTATTGCATGCGTGCCAAACGCCAGAACAAGCAGCAGCCTGTCCTCTGGCGCTTTGCACCTGATGTCCAGACATGCCAGCAGCATCATGACTCCAAGTTCCAACCGCCACGACGTCTGGCTTGTGTAAATTCGAAGCACAGCGTGCTTTCCGGTAGGGCCCTTCAGAACACGTTTGAGGAGAAGGCAAATCAGGAAGAGAGGAAGAGGAGGAGGAAACAGAGGAGGAGGCACAGGAGGAGGTGGAGGAGAGGAGGATTTGGAGGTCGAGGCTTTTTTGACCATCCCAGTGAGGGACTTTGCCTGCTTGTCTCTAGCAGCCGCCTTCCTCCGCCTCGTTCGTGTGGTCGGCGTGGTGCGCCTGTTCCTGGCAGCGGTGGTGGTACCCAATACGTTGCATCTTTGGGTGACCTCGCCTGTCCTTGGCATCGCTCGGACGTTTGCATTTTTCCTTCGGCGAGGACCATCGAGGAGCATCCTTGATCGTTTGGCCAAAAAAACCGCGCACGAAACCGAACAAAGCACAGGGAATGGACGTCCGAGCGATGGCCAGTGTCCCCAAAGTTATATCTTTTCTTGTGCCCCACGCGGGCTCGATGCGGACTCGACGCGGATTTGGAGTGGATTCGACGCGGAGTCGTTACGGGTTTGACACGGATCCGAGGAGTCCGATGTGGATTCGACGCGGACAGATTCGGCATGCCCTATCAAGACATATCATTATCCCGTATTCTTGAAGAGCTTATTCCAGGTCGGCTTGTGCCGTTATCCCGGTTTGCCTAGCGACCTTTTGATTCGCGATGTTGTTGCGGCACCATTGGGCTCTGTGCGAAGTAAAACCCAGCTCGATATCACAGTATGTCATGCCAGAGGATGTGATACATGTACTCTATGGTTCCCCCCCCATGTGGCCATTCATTTTGTTGCCGCTTCTCCTTCGTTTCTCTTCCCTCTCCTCCGCATCATCGTCCCTCCCCTCGTCATCTACTTCGCCTTCCCTCCCATCTCTCTCTAATCATGCTTTTCCCCGTCTTTCCCGACCCCTCAAACGCCCAGGCCTAGGCGGGAACCGCATCTAGACCCCTGCCCTGTATGTGGTTTCCCGTCCGAGAGGCAGGGGCGCGTTTTCCCACCAAGCAGGTTGCCAAAATCGTATTTCGATGAACTCATTCGGCTACCCTTGCTCCTACTGACCCTCCCTGCTTCTTGTGCGCTTCCGTTCCTTCCTTCCTCGCGCCTTCGCCGACCTCGCTCCGTTCCTGCTCATCTTCCCCCTCGCCCCCTCCTCCCTGCTCTCGCTTGCCTGCTCGTCTCCCCATCTTTCTCATCCCTCCTCCCCCATTTGCTGCACCCATCCCTCCTCCTTTTCCCTCCATTTCCTCCTCCTCGTCCTTCTTTCCCCTCCTCTTCTCCCTCCTTCTCCCTCGTTTCTCATCCACCCTTACTCCCCCGTTCCCCATCCTCGTCTGTCCATCCGCCATATGTTCTTCGCGGCGTCCGCCCTTCGCAGGCACATGCTGCCCTCCCCTGCGCGCTGTCACCCGGCCTTCTCTCGCCTGCCAGGCGCTGCACCTCATGGCGCTGCCGTGGAAGCTGATCTTCGCCATCGTCCCGCCTCCGTGCTTCTTCGGCGGATGGCTCCCTCGGGGTGGCTCGGGGGAGAAAAAGATACGGATACGTGTCGTCCCCTTTCGTTTTCGGCCTTTCCTGGTCCTCCTGGGGAATCCTCGTTGTCACCGCTGGATTCGCCTCGAAATTCTGGTCAGAACGCACCCCAAGAGAGGTCCGGGGACAACACGTATCCGTATCTTTCCGCCCCCCAAGTGGCACTCCGGCGCCGAAGAGCGGGCGGGCAGCTGCAGGTTGTTCCGCAGGCAGCCACGGGGCGGCGCTGTGCGAGAGAGCCCGGTGCTGCTGCGCCCCTGGATCTGCGGGGCCCCCCGCGCGGGGGAAGAGCGGCAGCCCGCCGCAGGTGCGCGAGGTCGGCGGGAGCTCGTGGGCCCGGGGCCCCGCCCCGTCCGCAGAGGGCAGTGGTGCACCACCACTGATGAGCAAACTGTCCACCACCGCTACCAGATGTAGGACGGGGGAGAAGGGAGGATGAGGAAGTCCTCCTCCTCCTCCTCCTCCTCCTCCTCTTCCTCCTCCTCCTCCTCCTCCTCTTCCTCCTCCTCCTCCCCTCTCTCCTGCCTATGGTAGTGGTGGTGGAAAGTGGGCCCATTGACCACCGCGCCCGGTCCATGGCCCTCCTGGGCCCCATGGCCATCCTGGGCCATCGTGCCCGGCCCTGGCAGAGTCATTTCGATGCGATCGGATCCGATGCCGATGCCGATGCCGGCCAGCCCGATCCGATTCGATTCGGGTGTCCCGGCTATGCTCTATCCGATCCGATTCGATTCGATTCGATTAGATTCGTGGGGCCCGGTGCCCTCGTCGCACTGCTGTGCATCCTGGCGCAGCCAGTTCGGTTCGATGCGACTCCGTGCCGCGATGCAGCCCGATCCGACGCGCCATGCGGTCCGATCCGATGTCCCGATTCGATGCTGGCTCCTCCTCCTACTCGGGCCTTTTCAAGTCAGGACCGCACCGCTCACCGCTCGGACTCCCCCGAAAGCTGCCCAGTCAATAGTCTCCAGCATGTCGCGTCAATACCCACCTCATCCCCGAAGATGTGCTCAGGGCATTCCTTGAGCCTGTCCTGAGCTCGGCAGTCCCCCTCCCCTCGTTCCTGGTGGGGCCCCGAGGCTGCCTGGCTGCGGCGTGACGCCCGCGCCGCGTGGCGCGGCGGCGGCCCCCCCGCGCGGGCCGCTCGAGGGGATGACGCCGCCGCTGGCCCCGGGGCCGGCCGGCATCGAACGACCCGCGCCGTCGGAGAGCCGCGGCCGCTCGAGGCTCCGGGGTAGAATGTGTTCGTTCAGCGGAGCGAAGAATGGAACTCCCCTCCTCCTCCTCCTCCTCCTCCTCCTCCTGCTCCTCCTCCTCCTCCTCCTCCTCCTCCTCCTCCTCATAGACATCGGAACTCGGAGGTCCGTGTGTGGATTTCTCGGATCGGCGCTGGACCCCCCCCACCACTGGAGCGCGGAGCGCGCCAGGGGCGGCGCCGGCGGCGCCGCCAGGGGGCCCCAGCGCCGATCCGAGAAATCCGTGCGGAGCTCCGAGTTTTTACGTTTACGTCTAATTTTTCGTTGCCCTAATCGTCGGCAGCAGAGGCAGTCCGCTGCAGCAGGTGGCACGTCGGGGCAACCGAAGGGCTGATAGGCCGGCGTGCAAGGGGGGGTGGTGGAAAAGACGAGAGCGGCCGCGCGCGGCTCCGGGGAAGAAACAATGGCATGACAGAAAACTTCGGAGGTCCGGCGCTGGGGCCCCCTGGCGGCGCCTCTGGCGCCGCGCCTGGCGCGCTCCGCGCGCCAGGGGGGGACCTCCGAGTTGGTTCCCCTAGTCACGTCAGTGGAGCAGGAAGTCATGCCAACGATGCGCTCCAGGGTTTCCAGGATTTCCTGGAGTTCCGATTGTTCCTCAAGGGGTCCAGAGGAAAAGGCCGCTATTTACCCCCAAAATCCTGGAACGCATCCAGAGCCAATCACATCATGACATCATTCTGATCATAGAACGAACCGACCCACGCAGCGTCAGAAACTAGCACCCGCTGGCGTCGCAAAGCCCCGAACCTGTCGTGCACTCGGCATCACCACGAAGGACATGGTCTCTGAGGGAAGCGGTTCTCAGATCCTGGGGCGTTCCCTCGGTCCAGCTCTTCATCCTCAGCTGGTTTCTGACGGTCCCGGGGCTCGTGGAGGGTCGTGCCCCCCAGAAAACGGCAAACAATATGTGGTGTCCATACTGGCCCAGCACTGCGAAATGACTAAACTTTTACTTGTTTCGTAGAATGTGTTGCTTGCTTTTTGTAAGTATCCATGGACGGGTGGCCATTCGTTTTCACTGTTTGCATATTCAACTTGCCAGAGTCGTTCGTTTTCCCATTCGTTTCCTGGCGTTGCTTTAGCCCGCGCCATTCGATCTACACATTGAGTACGAAGTTGCTACGGCTCGCCCCTCCTAATCACGGGAAACGCAGGCGTCATCGCTTTCCTTATTCTCGATTGAAATTCCCGAGGGTCGCAATGTCGTCTTCACGATATCTACATTTGATTGAACACAGTGCTAGTTGCTTCTTTGTTTTAATGTGATTGCATTGTACTGTGATTTGTTCTGGCTGTCTGTGTACATATATGTATACATGTGCATGCGTGTTTACGTGTACATGCACAACAAATAGTATACGACCACATCTACACATATACGCTTATGTGTGTTTATGCACACATGTCTGTATGTGAATATATACATATCTGGATACATGTATGTGTATATCTGCAGTTGTGCCAAACAATGTGTGCATGGATACTCCGAACGGCGCAATCATGCGATATGCGTGCCACCATGCACGTATAGACAGCTACTTATATGCTATGTACGTATGTATCGAACGTTCGTCAATGTTGCAGGTCACCGCAATGACAAGGGGCGGTTGCACGGCCGGGTTGATCATGCGCGGCTATGCCTGCATTCGTGAAAGTGACGCTTCGTCTGCCTGGGGGCGAACCCGCAGAGAACGGAGCGTGCGCCGCAAGCGTTTTCCGCATCTTATCGTAGCCCCTTATGACCTCGGAGGTGGATAGACCTCCTACCCCGACACGTCGATCGAGGAATGGGCCGTTTTCGGTGCGCGAGAGGGCGTCACGGCCGTCGCTTTTGCGGGCCCAGGTCCGTCGTTTTCGGGCCCAGGTCGTTTTCACTAAGGGGAGGCTTACTGAAGGGAGGTCTGTCCACTAGGGCGACGAGATCTATACATATCCACTGCTCTTGGCCAGGCCCATCCTGGGCCCAGGAGCTGTGTATACGCCCTCCTGGCTAGGCCAGGAGGGCGTGGCGTATACACCGCTGCGGGGTTGAGGATGGGCCTGGCCTGGGAGCAGTGGATATGTATAGATCTCGTAGCCCTACGCCGATGCACGCGGCAGGCACTGCGTGCGAGTGTCTCCGCGGCCGTTTGCGCGATCGCGGGGCTTGCGGGCCTTGCGGGCTTGCGGGCGCGCGGGGGCGATGCGGCGGGGGCCGGACGTGCGGGCCCGCTTGTCGCGAGGTGGCACGAACGCGCGGGCGCGGGTGCGCGGGCGCGCGGGTGCGAGGGGGGGGAGGGGGGGGGGGGGGGGGGGCACCTGGAGGGGGCGGGTATGCGCAGGGCGACGAGATCTATACATATCCACTGCTCCTGGCCAGGCCCATCCTGGGCCCAGGAGCGGTGTATACGCCCTCCTGGCTTGGCTAGGGAGGCATATACACCGCTCCTGGGCCCAGGATGGACCTGGCCAGGAGCAGTGGATATGTATAGATCTCGTCGCCCTAATGCGGGGCGGCGGCGGGCGCGTGCCGGGGCTTCTAACTCCGATAGCTTTCCGGCGGGCATTCGCGCGTTCGCTTTCGTAGCCTTCAACGTGCTCGCCTGCGTCCGGTTTCGTTTTCGAGTTTCGCTTTCTCGCATCGCTGGGACGGTAGCCCGGGTAGCGAGGGGGCGGAAGCTTTCAAGAGGTCCTTCGAAGGGGCTCTGGAAGCTTTGGGAAGGAGCTTCTGGAAAGCTTGACGGCACACGTGCTGGGAAACAGTTCGAAAAGGCGTTCCAGGATACGCCGCGACCTCCAGCAAGCTCCTGCGACGTCGACTTCTGGAAGCCGAGACAAAATCCGGGCCACTCTTGCCTGCGGGCTTCTGATCTGACGCCCTCTTAGCTCTCAACAAACTATTCAGGAAATCCGCAACATCTTTCCTCCAGGGCCCGTTCTCTTCACGCTGTTTTGTGGCGGAGGTGGCTCCGTTCTTCCGCGGCCCGCTTTGGTGGCATCCCACCAGCATCGACCCCCAGTCGTCTTTTCATCGCCGATAGTGGTCTGACATCCCTTCCTGCCCAAGAACGTGCGGAGTCGCCATCGGCGGCCCATCGCCGATCTATCGGTCGCCGAATCCAGGTCGATGTTCCCCTTCGAAGGGGGGTCTAGGATCGGTCAAGGGCACACCCTCCAGAAGCAAGAAGCGAGCCATTCAGTCCGTGGGCAGCGTTTTGTTTGTTGCTGGTGTTGTTGTCCAACTCACTTCCCTAACAATCATGATCTGAATTTCTCTGCGATTCGGATTTGTCCAAACTTTGAAACTCAATGTGTAACATCCTTTCTAGCTCTGGATTGCAATATGTAAATTCTTTCCCAACTCAATTATCTGGCAATGCTAAATTGAATGCCGCTGTGATTCGGCATCCCGTCTAACTGTGTCTTGGAATCGGCAATTCTGATTTGAATTTCTGTGAGAGTCGGATCCCTCTATATCTAATGGCCGTCAACCCATCCCGCCACCGTGCCACCGTGCGTGGGTTGAGGGCATAAAGCCACTTGCATGTTCGTTCGGATCTCGTGGGGGTCCTCTCGGGGGCCTCTTGAAGGCAGTTTTGAGGCCTCGTGAGGGCCTCAGGCCCTCACGAGGCATCAAAACTGCCTTCAAGAGTGTTGGGGGCCTCTTTTGGGCCTCATGGGGGCCTCGTGGGGGGCCTCTTTTGGGCCTCATGGGGGCCCAAAAGAGGCCCCCATGA